CTCTACGGTTTCACCTGAGAAAGGAACCATCTAGCAGCTGCATTCGTACTTACCCTCACAATAGAATCGAGTGTGCAGAATAATCGGCTTTTCGGGAGCATGCGCGAAAGTGAGCGGTACCTATCCTCTCCTTTTCGCCCGAAGAGTCGACCAGTGTCTATACATTCTCTCTCGCGCATTGTCCCAAAACGCGTTCTCCCGAATCGGAAAGTAGAACGTATCCGTATACCTCAAAAAAGTGCAGAATAGGTGCGGGGCCCATCTTGCCGCACCCTCCACCCATCTTTGGGATCCCGAGCACTTTTTCAAAACATCAGGTGCGACAGTGTACTGCGACGTGACTTTGCCTATAATGAATGTAGAAGTATAATGTATGTACGTTGTTTAGAAGTAGCGCATTTAATGTTTTGTCAGCGCTGATACGATGTGGCGTATCGACAAAATATCCCTTCGCCAAATTTGTGTTGAGTGGCGCCATCTGCGTTTGTTCAGGGTCTCTGCAACGTGATCTCACTTGGCGTGTTTTTCAAGATGAGTACCATTGCACGACGTTTTTTATCGTTATCAGCCAGAAGGTGGGTTATGGAAACAATCGGAGTTTAAAATGAACTTCTTCGAAACAATAAAAGAGTAACCGTATCTCTTCAACGTTAAGTGGAGAAATGCACAGGAAACTCGATCTTAGTCATCTGGTGTGGGTGCCAAGAATTTCGGTGCTCATGGAGTCGACTACCTCCGCGGGCAACTTTCCAGCCAATTGCAGACGCCAGACTTTGCTTACGAGACACTAGAGCATTGCATTATCGCAGACTGTGACCGCTCCTTACCCGCTTCTGAGGTAGCAGTAGTAGTATAGGTAGCAGATTAGTTTCTACATCTCTATCCAGCAATTTATAGCAGCTTATTTTCCACATCTCTGTCCAACAATTTGAACTGCACCTATATACCTATGTCCCTTTCCAAAGTACCATGTGTACAGTGATGACCCGCCTTGAAGGTAGGCCTAGCGCTCGAGGAACTTGTAGGCGTCCTTATGTGCACAAGTAATCTAGCGCTGGGTCTATAATATTGGCTTTTTCGCGGTTTCACAAGAAGTCATGGAGATACTGCGGTCTTCATGAGTGGCTGATCTGTCGCCTCCGTAGTTGCCCTGCCCACCAAAATTCAAAGGCTATTTTCTTCTTCGAATTCGATTATTCGCCGTGCTTTTCGTGGGACTCCTTAAGGTTTCTCTTTGATCTTTTGTTTTTTCTTCCTACGAAAGCGTCACTACCCCACAATAGCAGTAGCGGGATTTGTCCATAAGCCATTTGAGCGACGTTGCGCCTTAACAATTCCACCCTGATTCTTAATTTTCTGGCGCGAAACTGGTACAAGGTTAGCCATGACTACCTTAATCGGAAGTGATGTGTGCTTACCACAGCTTGTGAAACTCCGAGCCTAAAAAATAAGGTGAGCTCAGGTTCTCATTGGGCGAGTTGTGCCGCTAATACTCAAGGGATACTAGATTATACAAATACTCAAAAATAGATGATACAATACATCAATGGAGTGAAGGCATGCTTCTGAGATTATATATTGCTGGACTGAAGGCATGCCTTTGAGCACAGTCGCCTCGTGTGCTAGGAAGTAACTGGTCTTGGTGCGCAGATCATGACGATCCAGTGACAGTGATGGTGATTGTACCTTTTGCACGCAACATGACCTCAATTGGTTCTTATTTGAATGGTGATGATGATTTGTTGACATAGATGATAGTCGAACATATTCCAGGTTGCAGTCCAGAGAAGCGCTTCTAAAAAAATATGATCCTGTCCAGGTTGGATATTTGTCGGAGCAATGTATTGCTGTAGACGAAGATGACAACATAGTAGGAGGAGTGGCGAAAGGTGATGCTCACCGAGCGGATACTTGTACGTTTCTCTTTCCCTTTTCCTTTTTCCTCCAACGAAAGTAATTAACGGGAGTAGATCCATTGACCTTTTCTGTTTAGTGGGTCTTCATCGAGCTTTCAGTCTTTTCGCATTCACACCAGAGAAGAAGTTGATATTGCAGAAGAGAAGCGCGGAAAAGGTGATTTGCCAAATTGTTTGATGAATTCATAGAATCAAATAATCAAGTGTTACAGGAGAAAATCGTGTGTGAAAGCAATACAGTTCCGTGTTTCAGATCACCTTTCCTTTATTATGGGCCAATACCTGCTGTAGCCACCCACTTTTTACGAATGTCGAGCTCAATGGAGGTCCAGGTGCTGTCGCAGCCGCCGTTAGGAAAGTTGAGCATGAACTGGGTGTGGTGGATTTGAGTCCAGAGGAATGTCGTGTGATGGGACGCTTTCTCTACAAGGTACAGTGAGTGTCAGAGTAATGCTTCAGAAGTCACTGCTCTATTTTATTCTTGAAGGCTGTGATGAAGGACTCGTTGTGGGGTGAGCATGAACTTGATTATGTTGTGATTACACGTGATTTGTCGCTCAGTCGTCTTACTCCTAATCCATCTGAAGTGAGCGATGTAAGATTAGTC